GATCCTCTCTATAGTTCTTATCCAAACCAGTCTTCCTGGCCATACTTACTACACCTTCTTAAATTTCCCTAGTGCTCAAGTTCCAATGAATCCATCCTATTCGTTGATGCTTCTGTATCTTAACACTTGCTGTTACCTTTGTTTGGAATAAGTTTTACTACATCCTACTTTTTAAGATCCAGTACTCCCGTCTTCTCTGCTCTGGATCCCATTACCTTGATCTCAGGCAGTTACTCCTTTTCCCCCAGCACATCAAATTCCATTTTTCTTGCTTGCTAGATTCATCTAGAAGGGAGAGTTCTTGAGACCAGAACATTATCTTATTCGTCTTTTTATCCTCCTTTGAGTCCAGCAGAAGGCTTAATGCCTTGCATAATTATTCGCTGAATTGGAAATAACTAAGGTTTCTAAAAATTCAAGTAACCGAGTAGATGGTGATACTATACTATTAACTGAGATACGGATGGATAGATTTGGGTTTTGAGCATGTTTACTCTGGGATATTTATGTTACATTTAGGAAATGATTAGGACCTATTTGAAAATAGGAGGACACAGGAAAAGCAAATCTGTGTGTCACTAGTATTTAGGTGACACTGCAAATCATGGAAGTTGTTGAGGCCACATGTAGACAGAAGACATATGAGAAGACAATTGTACTAGTGACTAGGGGGCAAGGAACAAGAAGAGAAATAAAACATAGTTAATTTTCTTCCTCTTTTAGTAGGATGTAGTGGCTTAGAAAAAAATTTAGGGAAACAAATGTTATTTTATATATTTTTTTAAGATTTTATTTATTTATTCATAGACACAGAGAGAGAGAGGCAGAGACACAGACAGAGGGAGAAGCAGGCTCTGCGCAGGGAGCCCGATGTGGGACTCGATCCCGGGTCTCCAGAATCATACCCAAGGCTGCAGGTGGCGCCAAAACCACTGTGCCACCGGGGCTGCCCTACGTTTTTTTTTTTTTTTTTTTTAATTTATTTTTTATTTTTTATTTATTTATGATAGTCACAGAGGGAGAGAGAGAGAGGCAGAGACACAGGCAGAGGGAGAAGCAGGCTCCATGTACCGGGAGCCCGACGTGGGACTCGATCCCGGGTCTCCAGGATCACGCCCTGGGCCAAAGGCAGGCGCCAAACCGCTGCACCACCCAGGGATCCCCCCCCCTTTTTTTTAAAGGATTATTTGTATATGTATATTTCTTTTAAAATAGGATATATATAAAAAAATAAAGATTTTTTTTTTTTTGATAGGGAGAGGGAAAGAGAGTCCCAAGCAGACTCTGTACTGAGCCCGACATGGGGCCTGATCCCACAATCCTGAGATCATGACCTGAGCCAAAACCACTCAACTGGCTGTGCCACCCAGGTGCCCCAATGGGATTAATACATATTTTTAAGAATGAACAAAATAGAATTAAGAGAGCAGAGGATTAGGGGACCCCAAGTTTGTCTACTCCCTCAAATATAGCTAGATATCAAATCATCCTGAACATCTGCAAAATCAGTTGGGAGATCTGAGAAAAGAAATGCTGCAATTCTGCAAATAGAAAAGCCACCACTTTTTGGAAGGTAGGAGGTGAGGATACTTGAATCTGGGATATATCACGGGATACAGTGGAGGGAAGGGAGCCTGCTTAAGGAGGCCACCACAAAGTATTATAAGCAGCAGAGCACAAAATCAGAACTTCTAGAAGTCTGCTACAGTGGGGGCTTAAAGGTGCACAGGTGGCGAAGTGGGCTGGAATCCCAGATGGGACAGCTTGGTATCGGGATCCCTGGGATCATAAAAGGAACAGGGGTGCCCAAGTGTGGCAGACTTCCCAGGCACAAGAGTGGAGAAGCTGGCTGAAAACAGTGAGTCTAGGCACCAGCTTTGTGCTCTGGGTTGCCATAAACTAGGAACTGCTGCAGAGTCACATGACCACTCCTCTGGCAGGGGTCTAGCAAAAGGCAGGAGCGTGGTGAGAGGAAAGCACAGGCCTATTTAGCAGGAGTCTGTAAAATTTGAGTTCTGAAACTCAGTGGTGTGCCTGAGTTAAAAAACGCTTGGTCACAGCCTGGGTGAACACAGAGTTTAGACAGAAACAAGGGAGAAAAGAGTGATTAGACTGCTTTTCTGTGAGAGTTCACTGGTGCGAACTTTAAACTCCAGGGCTAGAGAGAGGGCACTGCCAGTTTTTTTCCACTGATTGGTGCTGAAATCCTTTAGGGAGCAAAACACCACCACATAGTGGGACGCAGAGTGGCTTACACTGAGCCCTGTCCTCGACAACAGATGCATTTCCACTAGGGAGGAGTACTTGAGAATCAGTGCAACAGGCCCCTCCCCCAGAAGACCAGCAGGAACAAGTGGCTTGCACCCAGTTTACTGATCATAGAGGGCTACAAAGCTTCAGCTCTTAGAGAAAACAGTATATAGCATTCATGTTTTTTATTTTTTATTCTTTAGTCTTTTCCAGTATTATTTTTTCAGTTATTTTCTAATTTTTTCTATTCTTTTTTAATTCATTTTTTATATGCATTGTATATATATTTCTTTTCATTGTATTTTTTTGTATATATGTGTGTGTGTATATATATGTTTTCTTTCTCTCTTATATTGGGATCTAGTTTCTTTTAACAAGCAGATCAAAACACACCTAGGATCTAGTGTTTTGTTTTTGTTTTTTTCTGGTTTACTTTTTTTTTTTTTCTGTTATTGTTTTTTCTCTTTCTTCTTTTCTTTTCTTTTCTGGACAAAAATGATAAAATGGAGAAATTCACCCCAAAAGAAAGGACAGGAGGTAGTACTCACTGCTAGGGATTTAATCAATATGGATATAAGTAAGATGTCTGACCTAGAATTTAAAACAATGATTATAAAGATACTAGTGGGCTTGGAAAAAGCATAGAAGACACTAGAGAATCCCTTACTATAGAAATAAAAGAACTAAAGTCTAGTCAGGCTGCAATGAAGAATGCTATTACTGAGATGCAGTCCCAAATGGAGGCTATAAAAAGGATGAATGAGGCAGAAGAGAAAGTGAGTGATATAGAAGGTAAAATGATGGAAAATAAGGAAGCTAAAAAGAAAGACAACTACTGGATCATGAAGGGAGATTTAGAGAACTCACCGATTCTGTAAAGCAAAACAATGTCCGGATAATAGGCTCTCAGAATTTGAAGAGTGGAAGAGAAGGGCAAAGGTTTATTTGAACAAATTATAGCAGAGAACTTCCATAATCTGGGTAAGGAAACACACTTAAGTCCAGGAGGCACAGAGAACCCCCCCCCCAAGTCAATAAAAATAGGTCAACACCTCAACATAAAATAGTAAGTTTGCAAATTTCAAAGATAAAGAGAAAATTCTGAAAGTACCTCAGGACAAGAGGTTGTTACCCTGCAAGGATAGAAACATAAGGCAGGCAGCAGACCTGTCCACAGAGACATGGCAGGCCAGAAAGGACTGGCATGATCTGTTCAACAGGCTAAATGGGAAAAATGCAGCCAAGAATACTTTATCCAGCAAGGCTGTCATTCAGAATAGAAGGAGAGATAAAGAGTTTCCAAGACAAAAACTTAAAGGAATTTGTGAACACTAAACCAGCCCCACAAGAAATATTAAAGGGGATCTTTTAAGTGAAGAGAGACCCCGAAAGTAACAAAGACCAGAAAGGAATGGAGACAGTCTACAGGAACATCAACTTTACGGGGAATACAATGGCACTAAATTCATATCTTTCAATATTTATTTTGAAGGTAAATAGACTAAATGCTCCAATCAAAAGACATAGGGTATCAGAAGGGATTAAAAAACAAGACCCATTGATAAGCTGTTTACAAGAGACACATTTCATACCCTAAAGACACCTCCAGATTGAAAGTGAAGAAGTGGAAAAAAAAAAAAAAGTGAAGAAGTGAAGAACCATTTATCATGCCACTGGACATCAAAAGAAAGCTGGAGTAATCATCATTATCTCAGACAAACTAGATTTTAAACCAAAGACTATAATGAGAGATGAAGAAGGGCACTGTATTAAAATAAAGGGGTCTACCAGACAAGAAGATTAACAGTTGTACATATGTATGCCCCTAACTTGGGAGCAGCCAAATATATAAACCAGTTAATAACAAAATTAAAGAAACTTGTTGATAATAACAAGGGTTTTGAATGACACACTGGACCAGATATATACCAGATATATTCAGAATATCCCATCCTAAAGCAACAGAATACACATTCCTTTTAAGTACATATGGAACATTCTCCAGAATAGATCACATACTGGGCCATACATAAGGTCTCAACTAGTACAAAAAGATTGAGATTATACCATGCATATTTTCAGACCACAATGCTTTAAAACTAGAAGTCATCCACAAGAAAAAATTTGGAAGGACTACAAATACATGGAGGTTAAGGAGCATCCTACTTAAAGATGAATGGGTTAACCAGGAAATTAAATAATTTAAAAAATACATGGAAGCAAATTAAAGTGAAAACACTTTCAGAAAACAGTTTAGAACCTTTGAGATGCAGCAAAAGTGGTCCAAGAAGGAAATATATAACAGTAAAGGCCTTTCTTAAGAAACAAGAAAAGTCTCAAATACACCACCTGAAAAAGCTGAAAAAAGAACAGTAAATAGGGCACTGGGTGGCTCAATCAGCTAAGCAGCTGATTCTTGATCTCAGCTTAGGTCATGATCTGGGGCCTGGGGTCAAACATCAGGCTTACCACTCAGGGATGAGTCTGCGACTCTCCCCTTCTTTCTCTGCCCCTCCCCCTGCTCACACGGTTGTTCTCTTTCTGTCTAAAATAAAAAAACTTAAAGATGGGGATCCCTGGGTGGCTCAGTGGTTTCGCGCCTGCCTTTGGCCCAGGGCGCGATCCTGGAGTCCCGGGATCGGGTCCCGCATCGGGCTCCCGGCATGGAGCCTGCTTCTCCCTCTGCCTGTGTCTCTGCCTCTCTCTCTCTCTCTCTGTCTATCATAACTAAATAAAAATAAATCTTTAAAAAAAAAAAACCTTAAAAAAGAACAGCAAATAAAGCCTAAATCCAACAGAAGAGAAATAATAAAGATTAGAGCAGAAATCAATAGAAATAGAAACCAAAAGAACAGTAGAACAGATCAACAAAACTAGGACCTGGTTCCATGAAAGAATAAGATTGATAAACCGCTAGCCAGACTTACCAAAAAGAAAAGAAAAAGGACTCAAATAAAATCATAAATGAAAGAGGAGAGATCATAACCAACACCTAAGAAATACAATTATCAGAGAATATTATGAGCAAGTTGGCATATAGTATGCTAACAAAGTAGGCAATCTGGAAAAAATGAATGCATTCCTAAGAAACATAAAAACTACCAAAACTGAATCAGGAAGAAATAGAAAATCTGAACATACTCATAACCAGCAAAGAAATTGAAGTAGTAATCAGAAATCTCCCAACAAGTAAGAGTCCAGGGCTGGATGGTCTCCCAGCAGAATTCTATCAAACATTTAAAGAAAAATTTAATAGCTGTTCTTCTGAAACTCTTTCAAAAAATAGAAATGGAACGAAAACCTCCAAACTCATTCTGTGAGGCCAGCATTATTTTAATCCCAAAACAAGACAAGGACCCCACTGAAAAGGAGAATAACAGACCAATATCCCTGGTGAACATGGATGCAAAAATTCTCACCCTGGTATCAGCTAATAGGGTCCAACAGTATATTATTATTATTATTATTTTTCCAACAGTACATTAAAAGGATTATTTGGGATGCCTGGGTGGCTCAGTGGTTGAGTGTCTACCTGCAGCTCAGGTCATGATCCCAGGGTCCTGGGATTGAGTCCCATATCAGGGTTCTCCCAGGCAGCCTGTTTCTCCCTCTGCCTATCTCACTGCTTCTAAGTCTCTCTTATGAATAAATAAATAAAATCTTTAAGAAAAAAAAAAAAGGATTATTCAGTATGACCAGGTGGGATTTATTCCTGAAGTGCAATGGTAGTTCAACGTTCACAAATCAATCAGTGTGATAACACCACATCAATAAAATAAAGAACAAGAACTGTATGATTCTCTCAGTAGATGCAGAAGAAGCATTTGACAAAATACAGCATCCTTTCTTGTTAAAAACTCTCCATTGTGTAGGGATAGAGGGAACATATCTCAGTATCATAAAAGCCGTATACAAAAAACTAACAGCAAATATCATCCTTAACAGAGAAAAACAGAGCTTCTCCCATAAGGTCACAGGAACATGACAAGGATGTCCGCTCTCGCCACTGGTGTTCAACATTGTACTGGAAATCTGTTTTTTTGTACAGAAAACAAAAATAAAAGGCATCCAAATCAGCAAAGAGGAAGTCAAATAGTCACTCTTCATAGATGACATGGTATTCTATGTGGAAAACCCAAGACTCCACCCAAAAATTACTAGAACTCATATAGGAATTCATCAAAATTGCAGGATATAAAATCAATGTACAGAAATCAGTTGCATTTCTATACACTGAGGCAGAAAAAAAGAGAAATCAAGGGATCAGTCCCATTTACAATTGTACCAAAACCCATAAGATACCTAGGGATTAGCCTAACTAAAGAGGCAAAGGATCTATACTCAGAAAACTATAGAATACTCATGAAAGAGGGATCCCTGGGTGGCTCAGTAGTTTAGTGCCTGCCTTCAGCCCAAGGCCGTGATCCTGGAGACCCGGGATCGAGTCCCACATCGGGCTCCCTGCCTGGAGCCTGCTTCTCCCTCTGCCTGTGTCTCTGCCTCTCTCTCTCTGTGTGTCTCTCATGAATAAATGGATAAAGTCTTAAAAAAAATACTCTTGAAAGAAATTGAAGAGAACACAGAGAAATGGAAAACCTTTCCACACTCATGGATTGGAAAGACAAATATTGTTAAAATGTCTATGCTACCCAGAGCAGTCTATACATTCAGTGCAATCCCTATCAAAACACCATCAACATTTTTCACAGAACTGGAACAAACAATCCTAAAATTTGTAGGGAACCAGAAAAGACCCCAAATAGCCAAAGTAATGCTGAAAAAGAAAAGCAAAGCAGGAGGCATCACATTCTGGACTTCAAGGTGTATTACAAAGCTGTAATCATCAAGACAGTGTGGTACTGACATAAAAACAGATACATAGATCAATAGAATAGAGAACCCTCAGCTCTATGGTCAACTAATCTTTGACAAAGCAGGAAAAAATATCCAATGGAAAAAAGTTTAACAAATGGTTTTGGGACAAATGGGCCATTTTCTTACACAAAAATAGACTCAAAATGGATGAAAGACCTAAATATGAGATAGGAATCCATTAGAATCCTAGAGGAGAAGGCAGGCAGTGACCTCTTTGACCTTGGCCACAGCAGCTTATTACTAGACACATCTCCAAAGGCAAGAGAAACAAAGGAAAATGAACTATTGAGACTTTATCAAGATAAAAAGCTTTTGTACAGCAAAGGAATTTGTCAACAAAACTAAAAGGCAACCTATGGAATGGGAGAAGATACTTGCAAATGTCTTATCCGATAAAGAGCTAGTATCCAAAATCTATAAAGAACGTGTCAAACTCAATACCCCAAAAAACAAAAAAATCCAGTCAAGAAATGGGCAGAAGAAATGAGCAGACATTTTTCCAAAGGAAACATACAAATGGACAATAGACACATGAAAAACATGCTCAACATCACTCAGCATCTGAGAAATACAAATCAAAACCACAATGAGATACCACCTCATACCAGTCAGCATGGCTAAAATTAACAACTCAGGAAACAACAGATGTTGGTGAGGATGCAGACAAAGGGGTACAACCCTCATGCTATTGGTGGGAATGCAAACTGGTCTAACCACTTTGGAAAACAGTACATAGGTTCTTCAAAAAGTTCAATATAGAGCTACGTTACAGCCCAGCCATTGCACTTCTAGGTATTTATCCAAAGGATATAGTGATTTGAAGGGGCACCTGCACCTCAGTGTTTATAGCATCAATTGTCCACAATAGCCAGAGTATGGAAAAAGCCCAGGTGTTCATCAACGAATGGATAAAGAAAACGTGTGTGTACACACACATACAAACACACATACACACACAATGGAATATTACTTAACCATCAAAAATAATGAAATCTTGCCATTCACAGTGATGGAACTAGAGGGTATTGTCCTAAGCGAAATAAGTCCGAGAAAGACAAATACCATGTGATTTCACTTGTATGTGGAATTAAAAAAACAAAACAGAGGAACATAGGGGAAGGGAAGGAAAAATAAAATAATATAAAAACAGAGAGGGAGGCAAACCATAAGAGACTTAAGTATAGGAAACAAACCCTCTAGGGTTGCTAAAGGAGAGGTGGGTGGGGAGATGAGGTAATTGGATGATGGGCATTAAGGAAGGCACTAGATATAATGAGCACTGGGTGTTATATGCAACTGATGAATCACTAAATTCTACCCCTGAAACTAATAATACAGTATATGCTAACTAAATTGAATTTAAATAAAGAATTTAAAAAAGAAAATGAACAAAATATTATTATGTTTTCATATATTATTGATTCCTGGCTTTTAACATCCTAAAACCGTTGGTTTCTACTATCTGTGTAACTAAAAATTTTTAATGTAAAAGTGGCTGCAATATCAAATTATTGCAACTTATGTATATTGAGATCAAACAGTTCATTATTTCTTTCAAGGGCAAGAACAGAATATATTTTTGCCTCTGGGGAGGGGGGAGAATGATCATTTTCATAAGAGAAGGAAGGATTCAGTGCTTTCTTTGCTTGTGGGTTTCCTCTTGTTCACTTTTGATCTAGATATTGGTGGTTATGTTCCAGTCCTCCTGCATGTGCCCAAGAGGATTGGGAATGGAATGGACACCAGCAGAAGCACCATTTTTTCCTGTAGAGATTAGAAACAAGGAGCTTATTGCCCTGCTTGTCAAGGCTCAGGACAGAGAGGAGGAAGAAACAAGTATAAAGGTTTTGGTTTTGGAAAGAAGTTGGAATCTCCTGACCCTGGGACCTTAAGATCCACAAAATTGCTGAAAGAAAAAGTACTACCTTATTGAAAGGTAAGACATTAAACTGTTTTAAGGTTTAAGCCGTTTTAGCCACAGTAGCATGTTTTCATAAGCCATGAAATCAAATAGTCATTTCTGCTAAACCAAAGGTTTTGTAAAATAATCACCCATCCAGCCTTCCTGATGAGATTAGAGACCCGTGGGGCACAAGGGATGTTTATAGCGAGGGAGAACCTTTACAAAATTTTACTCATTTTTAAAATGACATTTACTGAATGCCAGGCACTGTGGTAGGCCTTGGATATACAGAGATTAATGTGTCAGTTACCCTACCTACTTCCAGAAATTCTCATTCAAGGAAATGAAAAAACATGATTACAATGTGATAAGTGCTATAATAAATAGGTACATGTGTAATAAGAGTGGTCTAACTCTGGAGCAGTAATATTTGTGTCCTAAAGGATGAATTGTGGGTTTGGAAGAAAGGGATGGGTATTTGAGGTAGAGAGAATTAATTATATGTTCAGACATAGGTATGAAAGAGTGTGCTGTACCAGAAGAACAAACCAAATTGCAAAAATTACTATCTGATGTTTGCTATGGGGCAAAAGAGGGGCAAGTAATGAGATGTTGCTAGTTAAGAGTGGACTAGTTATGAAGGTCTTGTTTCATGCCAAAGAAATTTTAACTTCCTGTATTAGCCATGGGGAAGCATTGAAGATGAAGAAAAAATTGTGGGAGTACCTGAGTTCAAGATGGGTAGAAGAAAAAATAAGTATAATGGTTTTCAAATAAGTATATACCTGTAGCTCTCAATTGGGTCCAGTTCTCTGGTCTTTTCTTTTTTGCTAATATTCCTGGTATCCTTGTGTTCTTACTAGGTTAATTCTTAATTTTGTATGTTACCAGAGAGTAAGATTTTGATTTAGACTGTTGAGAACTAACTCCAATTTGTGCCAACCCTGAACACCTTCCAAAGAGTATTATGCATGCCTCAACTTAAAATAATTTTCTTCATTCTGTAGAGAAAGCTGTATACCCAAGTAAAGATTAAATGCTATAACAGGAGGTGGCCATACTTTCTTGTCTTTAATCATGACAGGAACTTAAATTTATTGTGACCCCAAGGAAAAGAAAACCACCCTAAGAGAAGTCAGACTTGATCCTGAAACCTTCTGTGAGAATTATTTAATTTGAGGACTCCTTAGAGGACCCTGGTTGCAGTAGAGAGGCCAGACACAAGGTACAGATTTTGGAGTGGCTGGTTGCTGGAACATCTGCCACTATGGTCAACATAGTTGACCATCCTGTTAGAGGAGCTTAAGACTCAATGGAGTAAGTCACACGGGTAGGGACCAGTGAGAAGATGGTGACCCTGGTGGAAGATCTGGGTGAAATGTTTGAATAGGGATATCTGGATTCTATGGACTGTGACCTTCCCTTAGAGAAGAGAAGGATGGATAATAGCTATTGGATCCATGACATTCACATAGCAGATTTCAATGACACTCAAAGATCTTGCTGTATACTTTAACCAGGAGTACAGTCAGGCTGGCACAGGGCTCTGTATAGATAATGATGCTAGAGGTTTTAGGAATCTGATCTCGGTATGGCAGTTAGCTTCAAAATTACCTGGAATCTAGTTGGAGCAAGGAGAAGAATCATATTTGAAGAAATACATTTCAAAGGGCATCTGCCAAGATTGGGAGGCCAAATTAAAAAGTCAGAGATTTCCCCAGTGGCTCAGTGGTTTAGCGCTGCCTTGGGTCCAGGGCGTGATCCTGGAGACCCAGGATCGAGTCCCACGTCAGGCTCCCTGCATCCCTGCATGGAGCCTGCTTCTCCCTCTGCCTGTGTCTCTGCCTCTCTCTCTCTCTCTCTCTGTGTCTCTCATGAATAAATAAATAAAATCTTAAAAAAAATAAAATAAAATTAGTCCAAAAGGCAAAAACTGGAGGGGGAATAGAAAAAAATCTTAAAAGATGTCTTGAAGTACCCAAAATGAGATACAGCAAAAGATGGAGCTTTAGTCTTCAAGTCTTCAGAACTCTATATGACCTATAAAGTTTTACCATCTTTAGGTTAGAGCTCTAAAATATGATAATGGCTTATAGAAAGAATAATGGATTGGCAATTGAGGTGTTTGGCAATTGCCCCAAGAAATTTTTTTTTGACAGAAAAAGACATTCAGGGAGTAAATTTGAAAATGATGAGAGCCTGAACTCGGCCCTCCTTTATAACAGTTCTCATAGTGGCCCTCCATATAGCGCTA